AAGAAAGTTGACATGAAGGAGGTGCAGTGTTACAGCTGTCAAGGGTTTGATCATTATGCTAGAGATTTTCGAAGAAAGAAGGAATCTGGAGCAAAGATGATGAAGAAGTGCAATATGTACATGATGGAGAAATCTACTCTGATGATATGCTATTACTCATTGAAAATACTCTGTCGAATAATGAACAAACCAATATGTGCTATCTAGATTATAGATCCAACAACCACATATCTGATAATAATGATTGGTTTACCAATTTGGATGAATTAGTAAAGAAAGTGATCAAGTTTGCAAATGGTAGACATGTTACATCAGAGGAAACATGAAACATAGTTATGGTGAGAATAAATGGTCTAAGAGCCACCATTACTGACGTATTGTATGTACCTTTAATGACAAGTAATTTGATAAGCACATGGCAACTACTTGCCAAAGGGTACAACATGAAGTTGGAAGAAAATCTGATGAAGGTGTACAATGGTGAAGGAAGGATGATCCTAAACAAACCATTAGCAGATAACAAACCCTTCAAGATTGAGATCAACATGGTTGATCATCAGTGTCATGTTTTGACTATTGTCAAATATAAGAACTGACTATGACATCACAGGTATGGACACCTAAACTTTAGAGGTCTAGGTATGTTCAACCAGAAGAACATGGTGTATGGATTACCTCAAGTGAAGCAACCAAGTAAGGTGTGTGAGGAATGCTACAAAGTAAAGAAGGCTAGGAAGACATTTAAACATGACTTGTCCATGAAGTTGAGAGAAAATTTGGAGCTTGCTCAGTCGGACGTGTGTGAACCTTTTGAAGTAAGGTCGAATGGAGGTAATTGTTATTTCCTAAATTTCATAGACAAATTCACCAGATATATGTGGATTTACCTTATTGAAAGGAACATTGAGGTATTCATGTAGATCAAGTAATTTAAATTACATGTCGAGATATAAAATTGATGCAAGTTAAAGAAACTGAGAACTAACGGTGGTGTTGAATACATCTCTAGAGAAATTGCAATATTTTGCATTGAGAAAGGTATAAAGCATAAGGTCATTGCACTCTATACACCTCAACATAATGGTATAGCTGAAAGGAGAAACAGAAGAATATTGAACATGATTAAGAGCATGTTGAAGGCTAAAGATATGGAAAAGAGATTTTGGGGTGAAGCAACTTCGACATCAGCATATATTGTAAATAGATGTCCAATAAAGAAGATAGTTGATAAGACACCTTATGAGGCTTGGATTGGACAAAATCCAAATGGTAGTCACTTTAGAGTCTTTGGATAAATTTGTTACAAGCATGTACATGAACAAGTAAGGAAGAAACTAGATGATCAAAGTCAGACTATGGTGCTCATAAGTTATCATTCGACTGGTGCATACAAGTTGTATTCACCAAATAATGATAAACTTGTGATCAACCGAGATGTTCTAGTAGATGAAAATAAAGGGTGTTATTAGAGTCAAGGGTGAGTTTGACAGGAGCAAGAAACTGTTACAACTGTGTTTAAACAAGACCAACAGACTGAAGTCCTAACCAATTGAAACGAAGAATCACCTAAGTAGAATGTTAGGAGATCGACTAGAACAAGAACTGAGTCGACAAGTCTATCTAGATATGAGATTTCTAGATCAAGCAGTCGATACAGATGGTGACTTAATAGAAGAAGTGATGATGATGGTTGAATCAGAACCAATCGATTTGGATCATGCCATGAATGATTTGAATTGGTTAGAAACAATGCAAGAAGAACTCAGGACAATCGAGAAGAATAAGACATGGGAGCTTTTCGAAAGATCAAGAAGGAAGCCAATTGATGTGAAGTGGGTATATAAGTTGAAACAAAGGTCAAACAGTGAAATTTCCAAGTATAAGGCAAGACTAGTGGCGAGAGGTTTTTTTACAAAAAAACTGGTATTAATTTCGACGAAGTTTATGCATCTATGGCAAGGCTGGAAACCATTAGAATTATTGTGTCAACTACAACATACAAATGATGGAAGATACATCAGCTTGATGTAAGTCAGAATTTTTGAATGGCTTCGGAAGAAGAAGTGTGTGTCAATCAACCACCAGGATTCGAAATTAAATGGCAGAAGTCGAAGGTATACAGATTGTGGAAGGCTTTTTATGGTTTGAAGCAAGCCCCAATATTTTGGAAAAAAATAATAGATAGCTTCCTGATCGAAGTAGATTTCTCAAAATGTATCTCAGAAAATGGAGTGTATGTCAACAATGCAAGCCCACTTAGTCGAGTCATCATATGCTTGTATGTGGATGACCTGCTAATTACAAATGTAGATAAGGAAGAATAAAGGTTTGACGTCAAAGCTAATGAAGGAGTTTGTAATGTTTGACCTAGGAAACTTATCATATTTTCTAGTGAAGGAATTTAAAGACACGAGCGAATGAGTGTTTCAGCACCAGAAAAAGTATACCCAAGACATCATGAAGAGGTTCAAAATGAGTAATTTTAATGCAGTTGTTACACCATTGAAAATTGGAGCAAAGTTGAGAAAAGAAACAAATGATGAGTTTTTAAATGCAACATTTTACAAACAAATCATTAAATCCTTGAGGTATCTTTGAAATACTAGGCCAGCCATTTTTGGAAGTGTCAGATTGTTGAGAATGTTCATGGAGAAGCCTCAAGAACTTTATCTAACAGAAATCAAGAGAGTTGTGAGATACATAAAATGTACAGTTGATCATGGTGTGCTGATGTCAAGGAAAAAAATATCAGCACAAACATAGAGGTATATAACTACACTGATTTAGATTTTAGTGGAGATCAAAACGAGAAGAAGAGTTCTATAAGCTACATATTCATGATTGGAGGTGCCTTGATCTCATGGAGTTCAAGAAAGCAAAGCATTGTGGCTTTGTCATCTTGTGAAGTTGGGTACGTGGTTGCATCATATGCAGCATGTCAAGCAGCGTGGATAGAGATGTTGCTCGAAGAGCTCAAGATAATGAAACCTAAGAAAATGAAGTTGTTTGTCGACAACATGTCAGTTATCGATCTGAAGAATCATCCTATGTGTCATGTTTGAAGTAAACGCATAGAAAGAAGGTATAATTTTATGAGGGATCAAGTTATCAAAGGAAAACTTGAACTTGATAATGCAAGACAGAATGACAATTGGCTGACATACTCACCAAACCCATGAAGAAAGTCATATTCGATGAGTTGAAGAGAAGCATCGGGTTGAGAAGTCTCAAAAATATGAATTAAGGAGTGTGTTAGAAGTTGTGATTTATTATTTAGTAGAAAGTTATTTTCGACTGAGGAGTGTCTAACCTAGTCGAATTAGGAGTTTAATCTGTGACTGACAAGGTTGTGTAACCTAGTCGATGTAGCTGTTTGTCGAATAGAGCATATAAATGTTATGTCGAAGTGAACTTGAGCTGAATGTTTTGGGTTTTGGTAGCATATATATATATATATATATATATATATATATATATATATATATATATATATATATATATATATATATATATATATATATATATATATATATATATATATATATATATATATATATATATATATATATATATATATATATATATATATATATATATATATATATATAGTTAGGATCCACTTACTCTAAGAATAAGTTTTTATAACTTACTCTAGAATCATAATCTTTAAATTAGATTTAATTAAATTATTATAAGTAAAAATGTTAATTTAACCACTAGATTAGATTCAATTTAAAGGCTATAATGTGGAGTAAATTAATATATATATTCAATTTTTTATTCAATAATATTCTCACTTCAATTTTTATTCAATAATATTCTCTCTTTTCTCTCTCCTTCTTCTTGAAATTTTAATTGTTCCAATATAAATAATGTATATAATGAACCCTTCATATGCTTTAAAATATACTTAAATTAAGGTGATTTCCAAACTTTTACCGTTGAAATGATGTATATGAGGGCATATGCAAAAGTCTTAAGAAAAAAAGAAAAAAACATATTAGAATGGAACGGAACATAATTGAAGGCGGATATAAAATTTTAGCCTATCTTACAAGAAATGAGGAAGGATCGAACTCACTTATACTACATTTTTTTAACCTAAAAAAATTATGTTAACCCACTTATACTACACTTTTTAAACCTAAAAAAATTATGTTAACCCACTTATACTACACTTTTTAAACCTAAAAAAATTATGTTATTTTTTACGCTAAAAAAAATGCACAAGGCGAAACAAATACATTAGTATAAACAAGCCTAAAATCTTAATCTACCCCTAAAAAAGTATGGAAAAAACAAATATATCCAACAGATAGAATCCTTTTTAGCACCCCTACAAATAAAAAGATATGGAGAGGTGGGGCAAGATTGTATACCTACATCCTAGAAGATCTACAAATGAGAGACTTGATCGAACCGCCATTTCAGAAGTCACCTTAATTTAAGTATATTCTTGTGTTTCTGCCATTTTTTAAATTAATCACATGTTTAATAACTTTGTGATCCATAATAGAAACAAAACATATCTTTTACAAACTATGGTGTATAATTTTACAAAAACTGGGTATTTTAATATAAAAAAGTTCAAGAGCAAGAATATAGATGACAGATTACAACACTATTGTTATTTCGTTAAAAGAAAGAAATGTGATTATTCAGTATTTCTGGCAATGTATTGGATGATCCCATTAGGACAGGGCACAGCTGCTCATATGGCAAGTTATCTTTGCTGGTGGATAGCTCAACTCAACACTAATTCTAGCCAACTCCCAAGACATGTGCTTGTCTCTTCTTTCAATTGATTAGGCATATAGGTAAGTTGAACATGTAAACTTTACCAAGATTGAAGAGTTTCAGTCCATCTCATGATATTTTAACAAATCCCACAAAAAAACAGACCTTTTGAGGATCGTACCACATTAGAATATTGGTGATCGGTAGTAGTTATGGGCAACAACAAACAGAGTGACAAAAAATATGTTCATGGAGTTATTGGGCTATCTTTCAATCACACGCCTCCTGTTTCTAAACTCACCGTCACCCTTTTCATCCATACTGTAATTGTTAAACTGTCCTCTGCCACGCTCCCTGTCATCAAATTTCTGCCTGCTCCGGCCATTTCCTCGGGACCCTCTATCATTCCCATAAGACTTTCGGGGTGATCCATCAAAATCGTCAAATTTCTTCCTGTCACGGTTACTTACCTGAGACCCTCTGTCATTACTGTAAGATTTCCGGGAAGATCCATCAAAATCGTCAAATCTCTTCCGATCACGGTTACTTCCTTGAGACCCTCTGTCATTACCATAAGATTTTCGAGATGATCCATCAAAATCCTCGAATCTCTTCCTATTTCCCTGAGACCCTCTGTCATTACCATAAGACTTCCGAGATGATCCATCAAAATCGTCAAATCTCTTCCGATCACGGTTACTTCCACGAGACCCTCTATCATTACCATAAGATTTCCGGGACGATCCATCAAGATCATCAAACCTCTTCCGATCACGGCTACTTCCCTGAGACCCTCTGTCATTTCTGTAAGACTGTCTGGATGAATCATCAAAATCATCACTATCACTGAACATGTTTGCTTTGTAACCACTGCCAGAATTCCTGTCTTCAGTAAAGCTCCGTCTCCCAGAATCATGTCTATTTCCTCTATTTTGCCTGGATGGATCACGTTTTATACCTTTATTTTGTCTGGATGAATATGCATCATTTAAGTCATCATCCTCATCAGAGTATAAGCCAGCACCACCATCCTCGTCAGATTCAGAACCAAAGCTTAATTTCTTAGTTGGACCTCTGCCTTTCCTTTTATGGTCAGCACCAAAAACATGGCTAGATTTGAAATTGGAAAGAATAGACCGCTGTTCATCGGAATCATAATCAAGTTTATCATCCTTGGATTGAGAGAAAGATGTATTCTTGTGACCTGATCGGATTCTTCCTGAAGCAGTTTTATGAGGAGCATGCATTTTGTCATCAATATCTTCAGAATCTTCCCAGTCCAAAGAGTCTTCTGTTTCTGAAAATTTATTTTTTGTTGCTTCAGTTCTTGCACCACTAGCTTCAGTTTGAGTTTCAAGCTCATAACTATCTATATCATCCTCATCGTCAAAATCATCAAAACCAGTTCTAAGTCTGGAAGAACCGGGATTAACATATTCTTCATCACGGGGCCCTGGCACTCTGTTATTCTTCTCAAAATCATCTTCCCACCCCACACGCTGATCATTATTATCCGAAGGAAAATCCTTGTTTATACCACGAGAATCTGCATACTCAAAAGCAGCAACCTCTGCACCATCTGATTCATTGTCATCAAAGTCAAAATTCCAGGCATTGGAAACCTCTTGTCGACTGCCCGTCTTATTAAAGTTCGGTCCGGAACTGTACTTGTTATCTTGAATTTTATTTTCCAGGAATTCTTCAGGTGGGCGTTTACACTCACAATGAAAACATACCACATTCCTCCTGTAATTCAAAAAGTTGCACCTGCCAGATAAAAAACAAAACAAACCTAAGCTCAAGAGTTTTGCAAAATCTAGCAATCTTTGGTTAACATAATTTCTTTTTGTATGCGTGAGAGGGGGGGTTGAACAGTGAAATGTAACCTCAGAACATTAAAAGGACTTAAACTTACTCGGTACATTCCCATTCTCCTGGAAGCAACTGTCTCTTTGGACGCTTGGCATCACACTGCAAGCAAACATTGTTCTTTGCAAAATTCATGAAATCACACCTGAGAAGTATTTAGCATCTTCAGTTAACAAGAAAAATAAACCATATACCTCATGTCATTCAAAGCAGCTTATTCATATCCAATTTGACACGCAGTCCAACATTATATCACTAATTACGAAAAGGAGACCGAGCAAAAATATCTAACAATGATGCTTATCAGTGGTTTGTCGGCAACAAAAAAAAAAGTTTACTTGGTTCGCATGCCGTAGCAAGCATAATAAATTGGTAAGAAGAGTTTAATATAAGAAAAATCACTAGAAATTGAAATGCACTTGTGGTAAAACAAACTTTTTAAATTTAATATTGCAAATAAATCAGAGATTCCAAGGACATACTTAGGACATAGCCAGTCCCCCCTTTTCATCTCAACATCATCCCGTCCAACACGTCTCTTGGGGGTAGGAGGAGGTTGTTTCACCTTTGGTGGAGGCTTTTTTATCACCGGAGGAGGGAGATTTGGATCAATAGGAACTGAACTCAATTTGACAACTTCATGAAGCAACTTACGAACCACTGCTTTGACAGACTTCTGCTTCAGAAGCGGCTTATTGGTGACTGATCCATTAATAGGATCAAACCCAAATGTCAGTAGCATTCGCATGATATCAATAGTTCGTGCCTCATCCTCTTTGTTTGTAAGCAGATATGCATTGTCACAATTGTTTCTCAAGCTGCAGGAACTACAGACCTGATATCAATGAACTTCGGTATCATAAATATATAAAATATATTCAAAGAGAGAGATATGCTTTGGGCTAAAGTCCAAAACCAAATAAAAGAAAGATCACATGGGGACCCAAAAAAAATGGTGACAAATGTGAATGAGAGAATAACAATGGAAAAAAAAAAACAATCAAATCAATCTCAGGTTCTTTTCCACCGGCGAAAATAATATAGACACCACAAATTTTATATCTTCGCAGTACTACAGCAAGGATGAGATTCACAGCCTACGGCCTCTATAATCTCAAACAAAATTCCTATTTATTCCTTGAAATGTATCCACACAAATGGATTTAAAAAACTCATCGAAATAGATTTTCGCAACCAAAATAACAATGAATCAATAAGCACTTAAGGAATGGTCACTTAATTGTGTTGAACACCCAACAGTATATATTACACTTACATCTCCTTCGTCAAGGTGGACAAGCTTCCTTAAAAGTTTACCAGAGAAAACCACTTTCCTGTCCCCATTGGGGCATCCAAAACCAACCAAAACTTGAATATCCTGCCTCGACAAAGACCTGAAATCAACCCATCAATCAATAACTTCAGCCATTGAAATGCAGAGTAACAAACTTATCACCATATAAATAACACCCTCAAGGATTAACAAACAAAACAAAACAATAACAGCCACAATAAAAATAACACAACTAATAAAAAATTGTCATTTTTCTTATAATCTGAAAAAACCCAACCAATTCAAACACCAAAGTGAATTCAATTGAGTTAAAAATGCACAAACCTCAACAAATCAAATCGATCCTTCCCGAAATTGAGACACGCCTCATGAACACTCTTAAAATCCTTAGTAAAATCAAACCCCTCCTCACGTACATCCTCGGGAGTATCAAACCCTAAATCCTGCACCATTTTATCCTCATCCTTCCTCCTATGATCAAAATAATTCTGATGCACCAATCTCTCCATCAATTGAATCCACTCCGGCCACGGATGCACCAACTCCACCTCTTTCTTCACCAATTCCACAGGTTTACTGTTAGTTTCAGCCTCTTCATTCGACGAAGATGTCGTAGTATGTTCCGAAACAGGTTCGGGAATTTCATTTTGAGTGTTTTTAGAATCACGCCAAGCTCGAATTCGTTGAAGTGTTTCGTGTTTCTGAGAACGTTCTTTTTCGATTGCATCGATTTGATCGAAGACGAAGCTGAGACGAGCGGAAAGAGATGAAGGTTTAGGGTTTGGATTTTGGGAAGTTGAGAAAAAGTGAGAATGTAAGAATGGGGTTTTAGGGTTTAAGGAATAAAGAGAGAAGCGGCGTTTGGTGAGAAGAAGAGATAAACGACCGTACGCCATTGTCGTTTTGAGCGGAAGAGTTATCGCATCGGTGCAGCTTCAAGCCTCCGTGGGTTACGGGCTGCCGGAAAAGCTTAAACCCTATTATGTTATGTCAAACCTTCACTAGTCTAAAGTCGAAGTTCATGTTAATTTTTTATTTTTTATATTTTACAATTCATGCATAATTAAAACCTTCATTATTCTTTACAAAATTAATTAATGGTGAAAATAATTTTAAAAAAATTTACGACAAAAATAACTAAAACTAAAAAGCATAATATTATGCATAAATTTTTTTGTCATCATATCATAATCATATATGATTTATTTGACATGTCCATTTTAATCTCATTTTATGGCGGAACAGATTTAAGATTCAAACTCTCACCCTTAAATGTGTTTGTTCCATTATGTCCTGTTTTTTTATGGACTTTTGCACACATGGAGATTATCATAATTTTATGCACTTTTAGACCTAAAAGGTACGGTGTCTGCAAATTCGTCTTGCCCGCACTTTTTGTGCGAGGCAGGTTAAGGTTTTTGGCTCTGTTATCTCAAATTTTTGACAGACATTTATCAAGTCTTAATAATTGAAATTTAGGTTTTTAACTTAGGTTGAAATGGTCATTCAACCATGAAGTCAAAATTAGCGCTCTTTGACAAGGCACTGATGCCTTTGGTCAAAAATCCAACCAGCTAGTTAAAGATCAAAGGATTTGATCGTTTTAGGATTTTGTGAAACTTAGAGTATCCAAAATGTTTATTCTTCACGGTCGAATGAGGTGTAAGTGGATAAGATCAAACATTTATTTGGAAACGCGTGGAAGTCTGTCGAAGGTGAAGGCTGCATGGAGGCGAAGACGTGGCATAATGTACTTTGTCGACTGTTGCAGACGGCCATAATAGAACTAGTATATAAGTAGCATTCACTTATAGTTTTAGGGGTCCGAAATTGTACAAAAATTCTGTAAAACTCAAAGTATTTGTGTTTGGTGAAAAAAGAGTTGTGAGAATGTATGTATTTTGCATTCTATTTTATAAATTGAAGTTTTTACTTTTCAAGTCATTTATTGCTTTTAGAGTTATTTCCATGTTTTTTTCAATTTCGACTTTGATGTCAAATTCATTTCAAATTTATGATTTTTATATAATATGTCCCGAGATCTTTTCGAGTTTAATCCCTTAAGTGGAATTAAACATGTTTTTGTTTACCAAATTTCATAGTAAACAAATTGGCACGCCTAGTGGGACCTTTTTGTGTGAAAATTTACGTTTTCTTTTTAAATTTTGCTAAAATTCTTCATTGGTGAAGCTTCTCAAATTCGTGAGTGTGCATGAGATTGAGGAGTGACAAGATAACCAAAAAAAGACTTTAAAAAATCAACGATGAGATACGTTAGGAGAACGGTTAATCCCAGAAACAACAATGGAGAACAACCATCCAATACAACAAGGGAAGGCACGATTGCTGCAAATTCGACTGAACCAATTTCCTTTATAGCCAGCACGACAACCATACCGTCAATGGCGCAGGAAGGGGCGACATTTTCCCCCATCAATAACACCGAGTCACCATGTGACTTCTGGACAAACAAGTGACTCTAGGCCTTTTGCCACAAGCTTCACAATGCCTATGTATGGTCATGAAAAACCTTATGGTATGCCAACATCAATGATAGCAAACTTGCATATGAATGCTTTGACATTTACTAAGAATGCGGCGAATGCTTATTCACTGGTATTGGCATCAGGATCGACCATAGGTAACCTTGGTCGAACCATACAACCCCAATTGGGGATGGGATTTGGTTCCCAAGCAATACCAACATTCGCCATAAATTTTGTGATAACAATGAGGCGACAAATGGATGAAAGTAACCATGACATGGTTAATATGCTGACCTGACAAATGAATACTATATTTAACCTTTTAATTCAAAATACGAATCAGAGTTACTAAAAGTTAAAAACTCAAATGAATTGAATCACACATTTCTTTGGTGCCCCTCAGGCGTAAGGTAGACCAATTGTACAGCCACGGGCGGTTAGGCCAATTCAAAATGATAGAATAATCCTTAAAGAAAACACAGTTAATCAGGGACAACCATTTGTGCCCATATAGTCGGACAAGAGAGGCCTGGAGAAGCTAATCACTCGCCAGTATTAGTGGTCAATCAAAATCAGGACGTTGACCAAGTGGTCCACCAAGTTCGGCAAGAGAACTTGTTAGGAGAGAATAATCACACAGCCATAGCCGAATGAATAATAGCGTAGAGTGGTGTGAACATGGGCATGAAAAGGCCAAATTATACATCTTCATTATCGGAGTGCATGTTACAGAAGGAATTCCCAACGGGATGGAAAGTCCCTAAGTTCACCAAATTTGCTGGTGATACTAATGAGTTCACAGTCGAACACATAGCTTGATATTTGATTGAAACGAGGGACATAACGAATAATGAGATCTTGAAGATGAGATATTTTTCTAGTTATCTTATAAAAATACTTTTATGTAGTTTACTATGCTTTCTAGATATTCCATAAATGATTGGAGTCGTTTAGAAAGATTGTTTCATGAGCAATTCTATATGGGGCAATCTAAAATTAAATTGAAAGAGTGGTCGAGCGTGAAGTGAAAGTTCGGGGAAACAATTGATGATTACCTAAATAGGTTCCGACTGTTGAAAACAAGGTGTTTTATCCAAGTTCCTGAACACGAACTAGTCGAGATGGCCATTGGTGGTTTAGATTATTCTCTTAGAAAGAAGTTGGATACATAATTTCTAAGGGACATGGCCCAACTGGAGAAGAGTTTGACAAGTTGAACGGTTGAAGGCTAAGAAAGCTAAAGTGAACAAAAGTAAGAAGGAACAAGTGGCTTACTTCGACATGGATGACAATGACTCCACCTTAGATGTCAAATATAACCATGTCGAAGAGAACGGGGTTGGTTTGGCCGAATTAAATCCAGGACTCCCTTATGTGTGTAAGCTTCTCACGCCAGCAAATGGGAAGAACCCTATTGAACCCGAAAAGAGTGACAAATCCCCTAAGAAAACTTATACTTTTGATGTGACTAAATGTGATGAGATCTTCGATCTGTTGGTTGCAGATGGCTAAATTTTAGTGCCACGGGGTGCAAAAATGACACCATTATAACAAAGAAAGAAAATAGGGTTTTGTAAATATCACAACTTTTGGGTCATAAAAAATCGCAATGTTATCTTTTCAGGGATCTTGTCCAAAGTGATTTGGATGATGGAAGGCTGAAGTTTGTTGAGGGAAAGACACCCATGAAAATTGATGTAGATCTACTGCAGATCAAGGAAGCCTACTATGTTGAGCTAGTAGAAATTAACATTGTCGAAATTACTAAAGATTTCGACATCGAGGCTAAAGATGAGGCTGTCAATGGTAGTGAGAATCAGATAGAGTACGTTTATCCCAACACTGGGGAAGGTTTGGTTGACTTCCTTCACTGTTGTAGGGATAAAAATTCAGAGGTGATGCTCTACCCCAGATGCAGTGCAGTGTCAGATAAGAAAGCTACTAAGAAGATGGAGAATGCTCGACAAACGCGATAGAAGGAAGATTGGAGGAAGAATAGGCGTAAATTATACTTTTACAAAAGGGGAGTCCCTCGGAAGAGACAACAGTTTCCGACTCATTAAAGGAACAAGCCTGGCACCTATGTGCCGACATATAATTCTCCCTAAGGGAAGTGCGTGTGACCTGCTGACAAGGAGAGATCTGGCCAACAAAAATGAAAGAATTTTAAGATGGGCAGAGGCTCCTCACTAACCTATCGAGCGAAATTTTAGGTGTCGGAAAAGCGTTCCTATGGGCCCAGCAACTACAAGGGAAAGAACCCAATGTTAAGACCCAGTGGAGGAGGTTCCAAAGGAAGAAGAAAGTTGATAAAGAGGCTGGTAAGTCGAGTAGCAATAAACCATACCAAAAGTGAGTGACCAAGTTAAGAAACATGTAGGAAGGAAATTGTTTTCCTCAAAGCCAGTCAAGTCGAAAGGGAAGGAAAAGGAGGAGGCACCACCCAAAGAAGATGAGTTGATGACGAATAATTTTGGTTCAGGGTTGGAGGATGACTTCAATGTCATATACAATGTGGTCTCGGTGCTTCCAAGGAAATATGATTGTATCACTGAGGTGTCTGAAAAGGTGGATTGTGATAAGGAAGAAATGGTGAGGCATAAACCTGTATCTTACTTTGTGATGAATAATGGTTGCGTTGAGGAGCAAATGCATTATTTGAGAGACCAGGTGAGGGAATGAAGAGTCACACAAAGCCTTTTTTCATAAGAACCAAAGTCAAAAATGCCACAATTAATAAAATCTTGGTTGGTGGAGGGGTTGTTGTTAATCTGATTTCCCATTTTTTGTTAAGGAATAGGGATGGCAAACAAACCCGGGCCCGCCCTGAAATTAACGGGGGAAATCCGATTTAATTGGGTGCGGGTGAAACCCGGTTCTTAACTATGAATGCGGGTGCGGGTGCGAGTAGACACTAAGACCCGTCCGCCCCCGCCCCCGCCCCGCCCCAAATAATATATTTTATTTTGATTTCCTTATTTTATTTATTTTAATATTTATTTATTAATTATACTTTTAATTAAGTTATTAATATTCTTATTGCAATTAAAATAATAAAATTAATCAAGTTAATATTTATTTATTAATTAAAATTTTAATTAAATAATTAATTAATTTATTAAAATAATCAATTTTTTAATTAAATTACTAATTTTTATTATAATTAAAATAATAATAATTTTTTGCGGGTGGGGGCGGGGCGGGTGCGGGTGCACCCATTTTCTACTGGGGGCGGGCCTGGGTGGTAAATTTTCACCCCCGATTGGATTTGGGGGCGGGGGCGGGTCTGTTACATGGAGGCGGGTGCGGGTGCGGGTATAGTTAAACCCGCCCCCGACCCGCCCCGTTGCCATCCCTATTAAGGAAAATAGGAAAATATGATACTGATTTGAGACCACACAATACGGTGT